TGTTCATGACTTGATCCTTGAGGTGTGATCCTGTGAAATTTTATATTTTCAACTGTTACTGTCTATGAGTTATGATTTTTTCGGAGTGGTGCTGTAACTGTCAAATTCTTCCGAAAAAAATTAATATTTCGAAAACTAATTGGGTATAAGCATAGTTATACAAAGTGGGCCTGAAATGTGCTGAGAAATTCAAAAATGTAATAAAATACAGGGTTTTCTATTTGAAATGAGAAAGTTGTCTTCATCTTTCGGTATAACGGAAAGAGACCAGAAGTTGAAAATATTTTTGTTGAGAAGGCCATTTTGTAAAACTCACTACTACAAAATTTCAAGTTTTTATTTTGAATTGTTCTCCATATATATTCCTAACGAACGCTCGTTGTGAAACACCTTGTATATGGAATAGACTAGTTTCCAGTCTAGCTCCAGACTAACAAAGTTGCTTTTGATGTGTGGGTCTCCAGTCAGGTGGATGTTCCTTTTCTGAATAAAATCCAGTATACTTAGGGGTGAAGCCCTATATATGCGACCAATTAATTGTCCAAGAAGTCTGATTTGAGCAATATACACCATTGAATGCTACTGAGGTTTGTATTTCTGGTTCAAATTACTCTTGCACGCTTCTGATAAGCGAAATTTGCTATTCCAGGAACGTAAGTATATCAAGACAATGTTTGTTAGAAGGTGATTGACAATCTTTCATCATTAATTTCATTAGTTCGGACTTCTATTGTCTAATATTATATAAAATAATTTGAAATCCCCTAAACAACCAACACAAATGAAAATACATGAAACACCAAACTATATCCTCACGTTCAACCAAACGTCACTTCCAAAACGAATTAAGGTAGCATTCTACTCTCTACCAGTCAGACAATATATTACCCCTCCCCTACGATGCTTTAGATGTCAGAAATTTGGACATACATCCCTAAGATGTGAAAGCAATCAAGGCTGTATATGCGGAAAAGCGATTCATGAGGGATCACCATGCGAGAAACCTATCGAATGTGTTAACTGTAACGGTACAACTATAGTGCACAAAGTAGAGATTGCCCTATATATAAAACTGAGGTAGCTATACAGGAAACTAAAGTCAAAGATAACCTAACATATGCAGAAGATAAGGAAAAGGTGGTGATTACGACGTCCACTCTAAAAATCTTGTATGCCCAAAGCGTTGGTAATAATCCAAAACCAATGAATGCGAACGTATCAGACCTGATAAATGAATTGCTCCAAAGATTATCCCTGATAATAAACGATGCCATAGCCAAACAAATCCCAAAACCAACATTTGAGAAACCAGCAAATCCTCTCGTTTCGTCAAGCGAGAAAATTCCAACACACCAAGGTAAAAGGAAGAATGCAGTCAGAACTCCAAGCCCCGAACCTATATTAGATACCGAATCAAATACATCCGTTTCTTCTCAGAGTAAAAAAAAGGGGGGATGGCCAAAAGGAAAGGCGAGAAACTCCTCTAACCCACCAAAATTTACCCGTGATATAAATCTGTGATAATAGTTTTAATAATACGTATACACTCATATAATATTTATTTGTATTTAGTTCTCTGTATTTGTTTATTTATTCAGTTCATTTATTCAATAACTCTCTAAACTCGAATACTTTGTATTATACTCTACACACCATATACTTATAATGTCTCAAATAGAAAACATCCTACAATGGAATTGTAACGGATTAAAATACCACTATTGTGACTTGAAAAAAATTATGATAGGGAGGGCTCCTTCTATCATCTGTATTCAAGAATCGCACCTGAAACCAGAAGAAAATTTTAATTTAAGAGGCTATAAATCCTTTAAGAAAAACGTCAATCCTGAAAGAAGAGCGAACGGAGGAGTTATAAACTTAATTGAAGAAAACATAGCTAAGTCTTCTGTTACTCTGCAGACAGACCTTCGATTATAGCCATCCGAATTGAATATCCTCATATTTTAACAATATGTGACCTATATTTGCCCGACTTTGCGTGGAACCGTGATGACATTGTAGACTTGATCAGACTGCTCCCAACACATTTCATCATTTTAGGTGACATGAACTCACATAATCCTATATGGGGATCTTCCAAAAAGGACATGAGGGGTAGGATATTTAAAGAAATTATCAACGAATTTGATTTGAATATTCTGAATACGGGTGAAGGCACTTACTTGAACAGTCGATCTCGATGTCTGTCAGCGATAGATATCTTGGCAATGCCTCAGTGATCACCTCTCAAGTGATCATATTCCAATTTCCATTGAATTCGCCGGCAGACCAATTAAAAAATACCCTGGAAAACGATGGCAACTGAGAAGAGCTAACTGGGATCTATATGAAATGAAAACTGAGGAACCATACTTACCAAATGATACAGTTGAAAAGGCAGTAGAATCGGTTACAAGGCAAATAGTAAGAGCCGCCGAAACGTCGATTCCAATGACCACACGACATCAAAATAAAGTCCTAGTCCCATGGTGGAACTCTGAAATAGTCCAAGCAATTGCTGATAAAAAACACAAATTCAACATATTCTAAAGATTTCCTACTCAAGATAATCGTATTTCCTTTTAAAAAGCAAGAGCAAAATCTCGAAAACTGATACTTACCAGTAGGAGAGAAATATGGAGAAACTTTGTATTATCATTAAAGAGCGATACACCGCTATCTGAAATCTGGAATGAAATAAGAGCAATAAAAGGAAAACACTTTTCAACTACTTCACAAGCCCTCATTGTGGATGGGCAGTTTATAACCAACGACAATGACATTGCAGAAGCACTTGCTAATCAATTCAAGGAAACCAGTAGTTCAAACAATTACACTCCGGAATTCGCACAACAAAAACAAGAATTTGAAATTCCACTCAACTTCAATGAATTGGACACATCACAATATAATAAACCCTTAACGCTGAATAAATTTGAGATTACATTGAATGAAACAAAAAACTCTGCTCCGGGTAACGACAATATTCCTTATGAATTCATAAAGGAACTCTCATTGAAAGCAGAAACAGTCATTCTGGAACTATATAATAGGATATGGCTAGAAAGAACGTATCCCAATAAATGGAGGGAAGCTATCATCATTCCTGTTCCCAAACAAGATAAAAGATATGTAATTGCCGTCAAGCTACAGACCGATATCACTCACCTGTTGTATGGGTAAACACTCAGAGAAGATGGTGAGCAAACGGCTGATGTAGATTTTAGTAACAAAAAACCTCATATCACCATATCAAGTGGGTTTTTGATGCTATAGGTCCACAGCCGACCAGCTCACACTTTTAGAACACTCAAGATAGCTTCGCGAAACGGGAACACATGGTCGCCGTTTTCTTTGATACAGAGAAAGCGTATGACACAACTTGGCGTTATAATATTCTCAAAACCTTATATGATTGGGGAAACAGAGGGAACTTACCAATATTCATAGAAGGATTTCTGAATAATCGGAAATTCTCTATCAGAAATGGAAATACTATCTCCACCCAACGAGAGCTTGAAAACGGAGTCCCTCAAGGATCAACACTTAGTGTCACCCTTTTCTCGATAGCAATCAACAATATCATTGAAAACATCAACCCAATGGTGTTGATGATGGTTAAACACCTTCTCTTAGAATGCCACCAGTATGAAGCCGATCGACAACGATATAACTGACCGGATAATATCAGAACTTGCCTCGGTACCAAAACTATAAGAAATGTTTTGAACTTTCTGAAAGCAACAGGCCTTTTTAACAAAATAAAAATTGATATCGTATACTACAAAATGGCTAATGACCTCAGCACTCGATGCCAGAATAATTAAAAAAAAACATTGAGAAAGTCCATTGTACAAAGACATCACAGCGAAATTTGTAGTCTCTGTTTGCCAACAAATGTTGATGTATAATAAAAAATATTTTTACACAAAATGAAACACGTGTATGGAAATGGTTTCCGAGAAACCATGAAACGCGTTTACGGAACAAGTTCACGAAACACGTTTATGGAATACGTTCATAGAATATGTTTATGAACACGATTACGGAAATGGTTTTCGAGAAAGAACCGTATTGAAGACTATTTTCTTTAAGAGCGGTCTTTGTGAAAGCTGCATAGCCCCAAACAAAAAAGATCAGGCAAGCCATAGCACCAAAGTTCAATGAGTAAACCCTCCTGTCAGACACGATCGAAGGCTAGGAAGTATCGAAGGAAGAAGCTCAAGACTACCCATATTTTTGATACCATTATTCTAAAGAAGGTTTCGGGAGTTCTTAATACGTAGCAACTTTTCTGGAGCCTTTGTTTTATCAGCCTTTTATAAATTCTGTTCGGAGTTGGATATATCTTCTACAGTCAACAACTTCTCTTATTCCAACCAAACCGAAATACAACTTGACCAAATTGAAATACCTGTGGTATTCGAGGCCTCAAAAGGTTGAAAAAATCTCTCAGGTTATGGAAAATATAACCTAAAAAGTAAGTTAGGTAGCACAATAGTAAAAACAGGTTCGAAAATGATCTACTTCATTATAGTTTTTGGGTTTTGTGTTGAAATTGGATCACCATTTACAGTTACTTTCATTAACTACTGCCAAATATATTCGGACTTCCACACATTCGGGCCCAGAAGGATTTTTCACCTGAAGGAGTGCAGGAGCGTACTCGATATTTTTTTCCAATAGGTACACCACACATCTCTTCCTTACAGAAAATACACCTTGATAAACATTTTTGATACTGATAAATAGAACTGTTATCTTCATCGAACTGTTATCCTACGAACGACTTTCACAAGACTTCCGTAATACATGTACGAACTGCGGGCACAGGTTGAAATATTTTGTTTACGTATTCTTTTAGCGTAAATCTTTCCGAGCCAACCAACATAATAGAGAGTTTTGGTACCCTATGATCAGTTTACGAGTGTTACTAATATACGTTGAAAATGTTATCTATGTAACAAAGATCCGAATTTTTAAATGACTCATTTTTTTAGGAATTATTGAAAGAAACAAAAAAATGTGTTAAGTCAAAAGACATTTCCGAAACCAATTTGGAATCGTTCCAAACACATTTTGACAATTGCACTTCTAAAATCAGGACTAAGACCACAAGCTGTTTGCCATCTGGAAAAGAATATTTTGCAAACCTGTTGCTTGACTACGCCAAAGGCATCGTCAATCTTACATACAAGCACGAAGATCTATTGGAATGTTGGTAATATGAAAATATTTCTTTAGTTTGATTTCAACAAGTGGATTTTCAGCTTCTGAAATGGCAGAGTGTATGTCTAAACTGAAGAAAGATGAACAAACGAGAACAATAAAGTCATGTATAGAAAACTATCGGCGGGTTGAAATTCCTAGTTCTAAAACTGAAGCATGCAAGTAAGTGTGGATATAATTGAATATATATCTGAAAAACATTTTTTTAAACTAGGTATTCGTATAATATCGTACTAGAATGTATATTTTCATACATATTTGGCTTTTGTTTGATTGTTTCAGGAGTTTTGATCATTGTAATGAGTCTAACTTCGAACTGTAATATCTCAATGAATATTCATTCAATTTAATCAAAATAAGCACCATTTGAATCGGTAACACAAGTAGTCATAATAAAAATTGTACCGTCAGCATAAAAATTGGATACTTGGAATTCGAACAAGTCGATGAAGGCCATTCTGATTGACGAAGATTGTACTGGTGAGAAAGTTATCGAAATGCTCGTCGGTTGGCGAGAGGTCTCGGGCGTATGGCAGGTTAGGCAAAACTTCGACGCTAATTTCGTTTAATTTCCGGACGGTGATTTGTGAAATGTGCGGATGGGCGTTGTCGTGGAGCAGGATCGGACCTCTTCTGTTCAACAGTGAATATAGTGAATCACACCAGTCGGTGACCACCATATAGTATCAATGTTTTTTTTGTGGGTTTTCGCATTTGGGAAGTACCTGTGTAGCGAATAGGGGTCCAACCACTACCCAAAACGTCTCCTGCTGTGGAGGATCTCTACATCACACTCTACATCACCCGTGACAATCCGATCCAAAAAAGGTTTTTTTGGTTGAGCAAAAGCAAAGAAGAATAGTCCTCAAAACGTGTAACAATTTGTGTTGATCGTTGAAATCGTAGGGATCCCACTTTTCGAGCTCTTGACATTTTCAAAACGTTTTGAATCATCCGAAACCGCCTGCGAACTTTGGTGGTGTCAACAAACAGATGTCTCACATAGAAAAAGGAAACTTTTCTATTCTCGATTTGTCTTTTACTTTCTATATTGAGTTTTGGATCACCTCAAACCTACATGACTCACACAAAATTCGAATAAAACCATCATACAGGGATAATAAAGAATTTGTCGATTGATGCAAGAGTAAATTACCCCTATAATACAAATATAGGAAAATGGTATTGGAGAAAGTTGTTTAGTTTTAAATCTTCCAAAAATTGTCAACTTTTGTTTATACTGCTATACGTTTAAAGCAAATCTTGCCATTCAAAAACGATTCTCAATTCAAATGTCAGTTTGTAAATATTCGTTTGTTTTACTTGATTGCTCGACGGTAGCCGGTTGGTTCGACGTGGTTGTTTTCTACACTCACTCAAATCGACGGCCGTGCTGGTCGGTGATTCAAGCCCCAAGCTGAACGATTGATTTTCACTCGCTATCGTTCAACCCGTGTTAGGAATCACACGTTAAAAGGTGAGACGGTGAGACTTCGTTAATCCTCAGCTCGCACAAGTTTCGACTTCTGAGGGTTGTCGTTCGTAGGGGTGCGACAGCTATTTAATGCAAAAACCGATTTTAAAATAGTTTTCCAAACTAATATAATCACAAATGTTCATTAGCCCCAATACAGAATTATTGTTATTCTTACAAAAACTCTCTGACTTGAGAAAATAACCGCATTCTCAAAAAACTAAGAAGTTGAAATTGCTCACAAGTCAATAATATTTCTATATCTATGAATATGTTTTCAGGGAGTTTGTACCAATCCATAAATGTTTGACAGATCCCATCAAGAGCATTTGTGATTCGAAACTTTCACAATTGGCAGATGACTATTTAGAATTGGCCAAAAATCTTTGTAAAGTTTGAAGAAATAAATAAACAATGTCTGCTTTACCGTTTATTTTTATGCTTAGGTACCTATCACCTGGATGATAATGAGAATAATTGAAATAACTTTATTCTTTTATGTCGATCGCAAACAATGATATAGGCAATACAAAAATACATACACGAATTGATTTTATACACAAATGTAGAAAATATAAAATCATCAAGAATGATAAATAGAAATGAAAATTTATAATTGAAGCGCATATAAAATGAAATTGATGAAATATACGAATATATTGTATACATTATGCTTTTATAAGAGTTTCATATTGTTTATATTTGGTGACATTCAAATTACTCTTTGACAGAGTAACACGTTTCAAAACAATATTCTTTGAACTCGGGTTTGAAAACATTGACATTTCGAATGTTTTCAATATCTGTAGGAAGGCAATTGCGGAGCTTTGTAAAGATGTTATCTCAAAGATTTTTTCACTTTGATATAATAAGACATTATTGATTCACCAAGAGAGTAAGAGACGAATGTCTTGAGTGTCCCTCAAAGCATAAAACAGTCTGAAAAACTTCCCCAGACGTTTTGTTACATAATTAGTATGGGCATCTCATCTTACCTGTTTATCTACAATGACCCCCCAAGTAGTTTATTTCTTGTGTTCTATTAAAGGGCAAGAGCATAATATTTCTGTTTCACACTCAACTTCATGTATAACTTTATTAGGCTGCTCGCTTTTTAGTATTGAAAATGTTATAAATTCAGTCTTATGGATGTTCAGTCTCAACAAGTTGCAGTTCAGCCATACTTGGATATTCTGCAATATCTCTTCAGAATCTGTGTACACATTGTCCCTAGAATTCTCAATTACAACTATAGCTGTGTCATCGGCAACTAATGCTATTTATGTAAATCAGGAACAGAACTGGAGCTATCACCGTCCCTTAAAAAATCTCAATTTTCACTTTTCTGCCACTTCTCTGGCATGATTTGGTTTGACTTTTTGCATCCTACAAGTCCAGTAGTCTTGAATCAGAAAAAAAAGCATTAGTCCTCTTATACTATAGTGATGCAATTTCTCCAAGAGCTTGTCGTGTGATACTGTGTCAAAAGCCTTGTCAAGATCAAGAAAGAGTGTTGAACACTTCACTGATATCTCCAAGGTTTTCACAGCTTCCTCAACAGAGTCAAGAACTACACTTTGGCTATTGGAGTTCTTTTTGAAGCCAAACTTGATATTTTTTTAAGAAAACCGTTAATCTTTTCTTGAGTGTTTTCTCAAAAATGTTTGCAAAATTATTCATTACCGTCTATAGTTGTCAACAATATTTTCTTTACCTACCTTGTATATAGGTGTACACGAATGATTTTTTTCACAGTTAAGGAAGTTCACAGTGCTTGAAAGTAAGGTCAATTAAATAAAGTAAAATTAAGTAAATATAATTATATGAACCAGTGGTATTATTAGATGCCTGTGCATATTTTTTATGAGAATCGTGGATATAATATTAGGACCTGGGATACAGTTATTTTTAAGTTTTGATATAACTTGGATACTGGTTTGAGGAACAAAGAGCATTTCACAGATGTATCCTTCAAAAAATAACAATCAGGTAAGGTTTCAACTTTCATATTTTTTTCTGACATTTCAACAACTATGTGAACAATATAATCATTGAAAGAATTTAATTCATCATTCACATTCATTACAATTCCTTGCAGGGTTTTCATTGTTATATTTTCAATCGAAAACATAGTTTTATCGCTGTTCGTTATTTCATTGATGAGTTGTCATGTTTTTTTACAATTATCTTCAGTTGAATTGAATTTTTTCCTGTGAAATTTATTTTTTGTTTGATTGATAATTTTGTTCACGTTATTTCTGTGCGTTTTATATTCATTTTTTCAACTCCTCAGAGTAACTGCGAATTAACTTTTTTTCAAGTGGATGTGATGAGTTCAGTAGTTATCCAAGGTTTTATTTTGTGGTTTTTGTTTTTACGAGTATTATGTTCATATGTGGATGATTCTCAGTGAAATTTATTCATGAAATTATCATAAGCTATTTGTGTATCCACGCAATTAAGGACATCCTCCCATTTTCTCATTCTAGGCAAGTTGAACCCTAGACATCTCGATGTCTTGATTTGATTCGGATGATCCCTTGGTTTTGCACCCTCTGCACTAGGTACAAACAAACTTATACTAGGACCAGGTAGATGAACATCGTCTAAAAACTTGGGATATGTGCTACGTCTTCGAAGGATACAATCCGTTCGTTTTCTATTATTACTATTTTTATTGAATGAAGTTCGTACAGGTTCAGGTCATCAAGTTGAATCCCTATTGCTTTGGGTGGCTCTGCCTTCCCTTCGTCCAAGTCTGGTAAGATGATTGGTTCACTATTGGTAACTTGGTGATCGTTGGTTAAGATTTGGTTGCGAAAAGATAACTTCCAGGTAGTAGGTTTTCGATTTCGTTCTGGTTCTGGCACTTGAGTTTGGTAGTTTGTTGAGCCGGTAAGAGGACAACCCATTCGTTTGAGTTGTCTAGTTGTCTGATGGCTGGTTTCGACAAATGTATGATTGTCTCCTTATAAGTGGAGGTGTCCTGGACATTGAGTAACTGGATTTCGCATGGATTTTCTTCTGTCAGATATCTGATGTTAGTGGACGGGCAGATATAGGTTCGATGGGAGATCTCCAAACAAGGATCGCTCAAGAATGCATACAATTTTTCGTTTTTTGACAAATATTTGTTTTGACGTTCAAAAGCCTTGAACTGACCCTTAGTTTATATCGGGATATAAAATAGGTGATAGTAATCGAAATTTGAGGAATGGGTAATTGGAATATGCAAGATATAGGTTATTCTGAAATCTGAAATATAGCTTTTAAGGCTTATGATTTTTTCATAAAGTAAAGTATTCTCGAAACTTATTTCCATTGGTAGTTGGTCTTTCTCAACAATTTTATTCAATTTTTGCAGTTCCTTGCACAAATATGTTGTTTTTATTGTACTAGGATGTTCAGTCTGGAAAATTGTATTGAGTTTGCAACATCTTGCAAAAATGTATTGATTATCTGATTCACGATGTCTTTGATGAACATAGAGTTTTCCTTCCTTAATTTGCAACAATTTTTGCTATTTGACTTATTTTTGATTCCAAAAGCCTTTCGTTATGTTTCACTTGCTGAAATGTACTATTAACTGATCAATTATTGAGATTGAGAGTGAGTTTTGCTTCTTAATGTTCGTTACTAAATTATTTTGATTATTTTGTAATTCGTTGATCAGACGGTCATATTTTTCGCCATCGCTGGAATATGAATTTCCTGTGATTGACTTGAAAATGGATCCAACGCCATTTATAAGACCGCGTTTTGTTCTGAGTGGATGTGGTAGAATATTGTTGGGTCTATCAGTCACCCCTTTTTCCGAAAATTCTAATATTTTCAAATAGTTAGATGTGTCCCATCAGTAGTCTTTGTGACCGCCTACAAGTGTTCTTATATTTTTAAGTGGAATTGTTCATTTACCTCCATGATTATTAGATTTGAATCACAATAATGAATAAGTTAATATGTGTGCGTTTCGACTTTGGCTGTTCCAAGTTTGGGAGGAATAAGTTCTCGATTGTTCTTGTATATATGTTCAGATATATTTTCCTGGAGTCCGAAAGTTTCAGATAATCTGAAAAATTAATCAATTTTTAATGAAAGATAGATATTTTTTGAGGGGACGTTTCAAATTGTCCATGTGAATTTTTTGTTGGTTTTCTGTAGAAACTGTTTTCATTGTATGATCGACTGTTCTGATTTGAGTTGGTTTTTGAAATTTATTTGCATCCTTTTGCCTAATATGTTATTTCACGTAAACTTTTTGTTTCGTTTTGAATACAACGGGATCATCGCGCCTTTCATTTTCACGTTCTATTATTTTTTCCTTTACCTTTATTAGATCCGAGTTTATTTTGGAATAGAGAAGTTTTAATCGTTCCTCGTGATCATTGATGTAATCATTTAGTAATTTTCTATCTATTTCAATATTGAAAGAATCATTGGTGGAAATGTGACCACTTATGATGTCAATTGACTTGAGTTTTGTGACCGAATGTATAGAGTGCTTGTATGCCAAAATCGCGTACAACATTTTCATTTTTGGAGGGGTTTTCAAAAATCCTCTAGTGTTGAGTAGACGAATGTGTGCTGGAATAGTAGAATGAAACCGTTCTATCATTCCATTGGATTGCGGATGGTGTGGTGATATGAAATGAACTTTGACTTTGTGTAAAGCCAGGAGTTCCGAAATAAGAAAGTTATTGAATTCAGTACCGATATCAACGATGATTCGTTTGGGGATACCATGATGAGAAAAAAATTGAATGAGATTGTCGGCTATTTCCGTACCTGTCAAGGAGTTGACTAGGTATGCCTGTTCGTACTTTGAAAAACTGTCTATGATTGTGAAAAATTTTGTGCTTTCGCTAGTGGATGTATACATATATTATGTACGATTTCGAAAGGTTTGGTTGCTGTAAGGGTGATGTTGAGCTTCATTTTGATGGCGTTTCGCTCATATTTGCTTTGTTGGCGAGTAAAACATTGATTAATATATGTTTGAATGATTTCTTTTATGTTCGATCAGTAATATTTTTCCTTAATTCTTATGTCAACACCGCGGTGGTTTGAGTTATCTTCATGGTGGTTTTTGATGAGTTTTCGAATGTCTTTTTTGTAACGTCCAGAAACTTTTTGGTACACCTTTTGAATTTTGTAGAGGGCCATTTGAAATATTTTTGAAATTTTACCGGAAATGATTCATAAAGTTCGGGGTTTTCAAAATAGACATGGTACTGCACTCCTGAAGAGGCATATTTTGCGATATTTGTACATGAATTCTCATCTTTTTTCCTAATACAATGGTAGTTTTGGGTTTGGCCGGAAAATGGAGAACTGAGCTTATAATCAACTGATTGAGCCCTAGGTTCACGGCACATGGTGCTATTGGAATTGTCACAAAAGGATTGTTCAGCATTTGACTGGAATGG